AGCCAGCCAGGCTCCTCTGTCCATAGGATTTTCCAGGCTAGAATACTGGAGTGGGTTGCCATTTTCTTCTCCAGGGAATCTTCCTGACCCAGGGATTGAACCCGGGTCTCCTGCGTTGCAGGCAGACTCTTTACCAACTGAGCTACCAGGGGAGCCGTAGCACATTGTAGGTACTTACAAATTAATGAAATACAATTACTGAGAGAAGCCTTTTTTCAAATGCAAATGTTTCTCTGGGTCATGAACTTATATTAGAACCTGCTTAGTGTGTTATATTTTTCCATTTCAGCTGGTCTGTAACCTATATTAGAAAAATAGCTTTTAAATGGCACAGTATGCTTCTCTGTAATTGCATTATTGGCATATGGACAATGCCTGAATATCAAACAGGTCAAGGAATTGCATGTATCATAGTGAAAGCAAATGCACGTTTATGGATTTTTCTGATTGCAGAAGGGGACTTGGAGATGTAGATTTGTCTCTCCCTGCCCTGAATCCCAGAGCATTATAGGAAAACAGAGGCAGTCTCTTTATTGGCAAAACAATCATTCACATTCAAATTGCCCTTTACAGATTGCAAAGTGTGCTTATATGCACTATCTCTTCTTTTAAAAAAATATTACATTGGAGTATAGTTGATTTACAATGTTGTGTGAGTTTCAGGTGTATAGCAAAGTGGATCAGTTATAAATATACATATATCCACTCATTTTTAGATTCTTTCCCCATATGTAGGCCAATACAAAGTCTTGAGTAGAATTCCCTGTTCTATACAGAAGTTTCTTATTAGTTATCTATTTTGTATCTCATTTAAATTGCCAGGAATGCATAGAACATTAAAGAATTTGCCCAGAACCACACTTGGTAAATGTTAGAATTCGGTGGCAAACCCAGGTCCTCTGAGTTCCAATGTTTTCTCCAAAGCCTGTGATGACTTAGAGAGCTGTCCTGGGCCTTGGCCACAAGGAGCAGGAGTGGGGCTCAGCAGTGGTCAGGACCCTGGACAGGAGCAGAGGCCGCTCCTTCCGTTCTGCATTTATCTCCTCCCCCTTTCCTTGCGGCTCCCACCCTGGGCTCAGGTCATACACCCCTGTTCCCTTTCTTTCCTTCCTCTTTTCCAATCACTTCATCTTCCCTGCCCATGCCTTTAGCCTAGAACCACTCAAGAAGACTTTTCAGAAAGAAAAATATTATCAAGGGTATCCTAGTGTTGATTTTAATTGTTTTTACTATATATTATTATAATTGATGATTATATCATTCTTACATAATATGATTTTATTAGACTTGAACATTACACAACATAGTCTTTAGTATATTTGAATACAATATGATTATATATTTATAATTCATAATGTAATTACATGTGCCCAGTGATAAAACTGGTTCATAAATGTTTACAGCTTTTCTAAACAATAAAGTCAACATGAATGAACAGATTAGAAAGAAACGAGTGAAGCCGCAAATTTCAAGATCCAAACTTATTGTAACTTAATGTGTCAGATGATACTATTTTACTTAAACTGAATTTTTTTTTGTAAGTATAATGCCCTTTGACAGTTGCCTGAAAGTTGATTCAACGTTCCTACTGCTGATCCCTTTCAAACTCCTACAAAATCTTTGATTCTTAAGCACACGTGAAGATGTGTGGCTTTCACTGTGCATTAAAACACCATTTACATTAGACTTTGTTATCTTTTCATTATCTTGGGGCAGTCAAGATGCTAATTCTTCAAGTCAGTGCAGACACACTCACATACACACACACACTCACTCACACACTCACACAAATGCAGACATTAAAATTTAGTATGGGGATTTCCCTGGTGGCCCAGTGGCTAAGACTCCAGGCTCCCAATGCAGGGTGCTTGGGTTCAATCCCTGGTCAGGGAACTAGATCCACATGCTGCAACTGAGTCTACATGCCACAGCTAAGACCCAACACAGCCAAATAAATAAATAATAAATATTTTTTAAAAATTCAGTACCGAGTGGTAAGGAGGCACAGAATATGCTCATATTTATTCTTTTCAGATTTCACAGAAATAAGCAAAATACCATTTTTTTTCACAGACCACCCCCAATACTGTATCTGCAGCCCGCAACCCAAGTAACACTGTTCCAGGTCTCTCAGAATCCCCACTCCTCCCAGCTGGAGGCAGTTCTGAGCCCATTGACAGCTCTCAGGACCAGGAAAGCTGCAGGACCTTGTTCTTCAGAAAAAGAATGCAGGGTGTTGGGGGTGCAGGGATCAGTGTGGTCCAGTGCTCATGAGCAGCCCCACCTGGGCTCAAATCTCTCTCCTCCACCTGCTACGTGGAGGCTACTTATTTAGGTTACTTAACTCTTGGTGCCTTAGTTCCCTTGTACATCAAGTGGGGAGAGCAATGCCCACCTCATAGGGATGCTATGAGAATTGGATGAGCTTTTAGAAAGAAGAAGAAGAAAGCAAAGGGCTTAGATCAGCTCCTGGTTCACAGGAGAAGCTCCATGAATTGCAGCTGCAGCGAAATTGAACGTTCATTCATCTCTCCTCAAGTGCTCTCATCCCCAAAGTCCGTTGCGTGCCTCTCCTGCCCCTTGCTATTATTTCCCATTGTGCCTGTTTTCATCTCCTGCCGCCTGCGTGAGCGTGACTGCCTGCAGCTGTAACTGGAGTTCCCCGGAGGGTCTATCCCCTCCAACATCCACTTACTTGCAGTAGAAAGATGGAGTCGCCGGTTTTTGTTACCTCCCACACTGCTGCTTCCAAAGCCGGTATCTTCCCTTTCCCGTGGTCGCCCGTGTCCCTAGGAGGCTCATCTGTGTCTCACTCCTCCTTTTCAACCCACTGTTCTTCCAAGAACTATCACCTCTCAGCTTCTGGACCTCTTTCTCTCCCATCAGTCACAAGGTGACCTCTGCTAGTCCATCCTCAGCACCTCTCCTTTTATTTTTTTTTATTTAAAAATTTTTTAAGACTTTAAAAAATTGAATATAATTGATTTACAGTGTTTCAGGTGTGCAGCAAAGTGATACAGTTAAATACATATATATATGCTTTTTCAGATGCTTTTCCATTATAGGTTATTGTAAGATATTGAATATAGTTCCCTGTGCTGTACGGTAGATCTGTGTTGTTTTCTATTTCATACATTTATTGTTGTTCAGTAGCTCAGTCCTGTCTGACTCTTTGAGACCTTATGGATTATAGCCCACCAAGTTCCTCTGTCCATGGGGTTCTTCCAAGCAAGAACACTGGAGTGGGTTTCTATTTCCTTCTTCAGGGCATCTTCCTGACCTAGGGATCAAACTCATGTCTCCTGTGTCTCCGGCATTATTAGGCAGATCTTTACCACTGAGCTGCTGGTGTGTAAATGTTAATCCCAAATTTACCCCTCTCTGTCGTTCCCCTTTGTTAACCCTAAGTTTGTTTTCTGTGTCTGTGAGTCTGCTTCTCTTTTGTAAAGAAGTTAATTCATATCATTTTTTTAGATTCCACATATAAGTGATATCATATGATATTTGACTTTCTGACTTACTTCATTTAGTATAATAGTCTCTAGGTCCATCCATACCACTGCAAATGGCATTATTGCATTCTTTTTATGGTTCAGTAATATTCCACTGTACATATGTATCACATCTTTATCCATTCCTCTGTCAATGGACATTTAGGTTGCTTCCATGGTTTGATTATTTTAAACAGTGCTGCTTTGAACATTGTGGTGCATGTATCTTTCTGAATTATAGTTTTCTCCAGATATATGTCCAGGAGTGGGATTGATGGATCATATGGCGACTCTATTTTTAGTTTTTTAAGGCCATCCACACTGCCTTCCATAGTGGCTGCACCAATTTACCTGCCCACCAACAGTGTAGGAGGGTTCTCTCTCAGCACCTCTCTTGGAAGTCATGGGAAACACTTTCAGTGCTTCAACCGCTGAACATCTTTGGTCCTCACCTGGCTCGGGCAACAGTTGATGCTGGGGACCGTCCTTGTCAAGTCTGTGCTTCCTTAGCTTCTAGGACATCACACACTTATTTCTCATCACTTCTGACCATCCCTTTGCAGGAGCCTCTTCTTCTGCCCTTTTAAACATCTCTGTTTCTCTCTCTGTCCTGGGTCCTCCCTTTAGTCTCACTGGCAGTTTGCACTTAATCCCCTGACTCAGGCTTCAGGGGTCACTGGCCCCAGAAGTCTTCAGCTCGGATGCCAGAGCTCTCTTATCAGCCTGCTGAGAGTTCGTCCTAACCTCCAAATGTTTATCTGCAAAGTGGAAATAAGGACTGTGCCCTTTTCTATCTGTAGTTATGGATAACTAGATTCAACAAACTGTGCGTTTTGATTCCTACAGGGTAGACCCTGTCTCATGCGTCCACTGTTTGGTGAATCCTAAGCCCTCTTACCTGGATGGCTTTAAATGTAAAGTATCCAAGACCCGGTCTGCTCCCATCACGATGCTGAGACTCTTCCCAAGGAAGCTGGACCATTTCCCAGGAAGCGAACAGTTACACAGAGGCTGGTTTTCCTCTCTTCACAATCATTATTTCAGGTCAAGAAGACGGAGCTTAGAGGGTGATTTCATACAGCTGGTGCTCGGAAAGTTCTTTGTTATCACAGTCCTGGCGATGCATGAGTCACTGGCTTTGCATCTCCAGGCAGTGGGCGTGTGCTGTCAGATTCAATTCCTGGGTCCTCGGATGTGCCCAGTACTCAACAGTGTCAACCCCCCAGCACAGGAGATGCCGGAGGGGCACCGATCACTCTGTGGCAGGGAGGTGTGTGTGCACCTGTGATCTGGGCGCTGGTGTGACTGGCCGCCTTTACCCCAGGCTGTGAAAAGCCTCGTTACTCAGCAGGAATGTCAGATTATATTAAGTCCACCCCATCCTCCTCCTCCTCCTCCTCCTTCTCCTGTGAATTGTCATAGCTCGTGCACCCGCGCCTGTTGGCGAGTCTCATTTTGTCGTGTTGCAACTAAAAGCCCACATCTTTGGGGGGCCTTCTGGTCTCAAGCATGCGACCAGTACATAAGGTGTTCTATCTCTTGCTTAGCGGCCCTTCCTTGGTGGCGCTGATTAATCCAGAAGGGCTAGATTTCATTGGAGCGGTGACAGCTTCCCCGGGTGGGCAGCTCTCGTCCTGCACGGTGTCAATGATGAAAGCTTCCAGGGTAAGTCTTCCTGCTTCTCAGCATCTTCATGGGACTGGAAGCCTGAGCAGTAGGCATTTTCTGGATTTTCCCCTAAGCAATCCAAGATACATGCATGTCTGAGGAGCATCCGTGCCCTGTTACTCCGAGGGGCAGGGAAGACCAATGTCTGCTGTCACTGCGGCATTGAGGGCGAGGCCACATGTGTCCCCCTGACCCATGACCACCTCTGGGCTTTTTCAGGGCTAAATGACAAGTCTGGATAAATGAAATGCTATAATTTGGCAAGTAAATGACATAGTCTGTGTAGCTCAAGTGGCATCTTCACTCTCTCTGGGCTTTTACCTGGACATCTTGGGTGCTGACTAGGTTTTTTCAGCATCACTGTGTGAGGGGGTTTGGCCTCTGCTAAACTGTTTTCTGTGGAGCAGAGAATTGTTTGGGGTTGAGTTTTCTTCTCAGCTGCTCTTTCTGTTCCTAGTTCCTTGAGTTGGGAGAACCAGTACAGTAAGTGGTACCCCGAGTGCAGATTCATGCTTGGACCGATTTGGGGAAGAGATGGCCATGTGTACCCCTCATTCCCCTTTTACCTGGTGATATTGTGGATCAGTGCTTCCTGGACTGGATTTAGATCCTGGGCTTTTTTCTCTTGAAGATTGATTTCATCAGGTTAACAGCTGACCTTGAATCACTGAGATGGAGTAGAGATGAAATTGATGAATGCAACTATCCTACAACCACCAGAAAACTGGATGAAAGAGCCAGCTCTGCTTCTCTTCCCGATATTGCCTTCTTGCAGTCCACTCTCCTAGGGGAGGGGCAGAGGAAAGCGATGGCGGGAATTGAGTGGGTGGTTATGGCAGATGGTGGAAGGTGCGCATACTGAGACCGGTGCCTCCAGTAGGGAAGGTGACCCCTGCCTGAGCCGCCATTGCGTGTAGGGAAATGCTCGGTACTCTAGGAGAACCACCTCATTTTATCCTCCCACTGGCTGTTGAGTAGGTGCTTTCACATCCCTCCATCTTAGAGAGTGTAGAGATACCAGGCATCCTGCCTGAGGTCATAGGGCTTACCTGTGAACCAGCTCCAGTTTGTATTTAGACAGAATGGCCTCAGGACTGATGTTCTAACCCCTCCTTGAAGTTTTTCCTGGGGTCTTCCCTGGCTGTCCAGTGGTTAAGACCTGACCTACCAATGCAGGGGGTATGGGTTCAATCCCCTGGCCTGGAGTTAAGATCCCACATGACTCATGGCCCAAAACCCAAGACATAAAATAGAAGCAATATTGTAACAAATTCAATAAAGACTTTTTAAATGGCCCACATTAAAAAAAACTTTAAAACAATATAGTAATATCAATTCCTGCTTTAAAAAAAAAAAGTTTCTCCTGTAATTCTCTGAGACATGGCTGCCTTTATTTCACCTTGGGGTAGGCAAGACTTCCAAGGTCAAGAGTGAGGGGTTTGGGTGCGTGTACCTATCCCTTGTGATTGCCAGTGGTTCTCATGTGGGATATCCCAGAACGTCTCCAGGTCCCCCAAGGAGCCGGCAGGGGATTACACTGTGGTTGCTTTACATAAGAAAGGGGGAAATGAATTTAAGCCTTTGGGAACATCTTAGACGAGGGAAGCAGTTTCTCATAGGCTGGGGATCATTGTTCTTCAGAACCAAACACAGAAGATGCTATAGAGGGGAGGAGACTGTAATGACTGTGGCCTAGGGTAAGGGGCTTGACTGAAATATAGGACCTGAAAACAGCAGGAGGACCCTTTCTCCTTGTGGGAGGTGTCTGTAACCCTATGATTCCTGTTCCTTTCTTATCGTGAGTGTGAATGCGCCCAAGTTCAGACCACTTGAAGTATTACAGAGGAGATTCCCAAGTCAATTCAGATGTGGGTGATCCCCAGATAGGAACTCACTTAGGAGACGAACAGAGAACACACTTGAAGAATCAAGCAAAGAAACCGGCAGACCTGACCGCAGGTGGCTATTGCTGTCACCTTCCACCGTGGGACACTCACTGTCCCTGTTGCTTCTTCCTGATGCTTTTTAATGGGTGCCATTCTTCATCTTTGTGAGAGCCCTCCACTTGCTCCTGAGGTGTCCTTTTCAGGTCACTTCACTATTTTTATTTCTTCTGGAGTCAGTTCAACCTGATGACCAATTTTGTTAAATCTCTTTAGCAGTGTGAGTTTTCTTTCTGTGTTTTGTTATTTCTGTTTTCAGACTCATCTTTTACAGGAGATTTTTACGCCCTAACTCTCTTTCCTGTCTGTGCTCACCCTCTGCTCTGGTCTTACTTCTTTGTCACTCTGTACCATCCCATGGATGCTCCTGGTCTTGAATTGGGTTCTATTATTGGTAGCTCAGAGTTCCTGCACAGGTGATACCACTGAGCCAGTGGGTCTGGTCTCCCTGCCTCTCCACCACACTACCTTGTCTGTGCCAGAGCTCTGGGCAGCAGTCTTTGGGAGTGGGGGACTTGACCTCAGCCTTGGTTCAGGCAGTACCTTGGTCTCTAGCCTCAGGTGGGACACTTTCAGTTCTTTATAGCCTAAAATAATTGGACTCCTAATTTTGTCTGCCTATTTCTGGACTCAGAATCTGGTGAGTCCCAGGAGTTCCACTCATGACATGTGCTCCAGCCTTCCATAGCCCTCATAGATTTTTTTGCCTTCTTTTTGAGCAAGACAAACCTCTAAGTGTTTTCTGTATTTTTTTATTATGGCAATATGTTTGGAGCAGTGCTTGTGAGGAAAGGGGGCAGGTCAGAGCCTGACATAAAGTCCAGATGAAGAGCAGTTCTGTTGCCTCTTTAGGACACAAGGGTGCATTGCAGGTCAGCACACAATGTATCAGATGTGATTTATCTTCTGGACACTTCACTACAGGCTTTATAGATATTATTTTATTATCTACTTGTAACATCATCATAAAGTATCCCTCCTCCCGTTTTATAGAGTAGGAAACTCATGGCTGGGAAAGAGGAAAAGACACGCCTCCCACAGCACAAGGCTTGTGAATCACAGAATCACACCCAACCCCAATCTGATTTCAAATCAGAACCCTTCACCCCCATCCGCATGTCAGGATGTCATCTCATGATGCCCTTTCCTTTTGTTCTAGGAAAATGCACTTAAGGAAGCTGCCCAAGGAGACCATCGCCTGAGGCCCCATTATGCAGGCCTTCCCGCAAGGGCCCGCCAGCTCGACAAGGTAACTGGCCACCACCATCGACAGGTTACTGGGGGCTGGGGTGTCAGGGAGGAGCCCAGGGAAGGTGGAAGGGGATGACTCACTGAACTCCACCCAAACAACAGAGTCTGGGACCCTGGTCACACCTCTTCTATTTCATCATGTGGCCACTGCACAAAGCCCTAGAGAAATGTCTCATTTGCTGTCTGCTAGGCATCCCCACGTAGAGATCTATTCAGTCACATAAGGGGCCAGAACAAAACTTCCCATGTCTTCTCCACCAAACCATTGCCTCTCCTAGTTTTTCTCATCCCAGTGAATGGCCATCCCTCCAACTGCTCGGGCCAAGATGCTCTGAGGGGTCCTTTATGCCTCCTTTACCTCTCACTCTCTGACAGCCCCCAGCCCCCCCATTTCCAACCCCACTGTGTCTCACAAACACAGGCTGCTGTCTTCTTCTGCCTGAATGGTGAAACAATCTAACCGGCCTGCCTACCTCCCTTCTTAATGTCCTACAATCAGTTTCCAGCATGATCTAGAGTGAGCTTGTGACTCAAACCGGACTATGTTGCTCCTCAGAGTAAAAACCTTCTCCCAAAATAACAACAAAACTCCTCCCTGTGGCTGCCGTCTTGCTCAGCCTTGTCATCTGCCTCTCCATCTTTGATTCCTGAAGTTCTGTTGACACTGACCTTTTTGCTCCTCAGACCACCAAGCTGGTCTGTGTGCCATGACTTTCTCTGCTTAGAACTCTGCTCCCTCTTTTTCAAATAGCCACCAGCCTCTTGCTCTTCATGGTGAGTTGCCTCCTCAGCTAAACCTTCACTGCTTCCAGCTACCCATCCCCTTCCTTTAATTATGTGGCTTCACTCAGCTTTTATCTTCTTGTGAGTCTCATCACTTTGGTGGTTGATCACATCTTGACTTATGTGTCTGTCTGTCCACCCAGCAATAATGTCAGGTGCTAGGTAGCAGAGGTCTTTGAGCTCTTATTCATCACCGTATCCCTAGTACCTATCTCAGTACACATCGTAGGTGCTCGGTGAATATTAGTTAATGATCAGTTGTTGGTTTGAAGCCGCTAACTTTCCATAATTATAGAGTGGTGTTTATTTCAAAGAATAACTGTGTCCTAACAATTTACTGTAAAAAAATAGAGCTTTTTTGATTTTACACTTCTTTTCCTGCCTTCTTGTTTTCCCTTAAAAAAAAGAAAAAGATCTGCTTTTCAGGAAATAAGAAGTGTTAGAGAGGATGTGAAGAAATTGGAGCCTTGTGCCCTGTTGGTGGGAATATAAAATGGGGCAGTGACTATGGAAAACAGGATGGCATATCCTTAACAAATTAAGAATAGAATTACTCCATGATTCAGCAATTTCACTTCTGGAGATACACCCCAAAGGATTAAAAATAGGATTAAGAAGAGATATTTGTCCATTCATGTTTATAGCAGCTTTTATTCACAATAGCCAAAAGATGGAAGCAACCCAAGTGACCATCTACAAATGAATATTATCAAATGTTATATAAGATGCAGCATATGTGTGTGTGTGTGTGTGTGTGTGTGTGTGTACATATATCGGGTAGATTTTTTTTTTATAACATCTTACCAAAAAACCGTAACGAACTTTCTAGCCAACCCTACTGGAGTGGGAGACCATGCCTTCCTCCAGGGGATCCTCTCAACCCAGGGACTAAACCTGCATCTCTTAAGTCTCCTGCAATGGCAGGCAGGTTCTTTACCACTAGTGCCACCTGGGAATTAATTATATATAAACACAATGGACTATTATTACTCAGCCTTAAAATGAAGGACGTTCCGACACCTGCTGCAATATGGATGAACCTTGAAGACATTGTGTTCACTGAAATAAGCCAGTCACAGAATGACAAATACTTTGTATTTCCACTCATATAAAATCTCTAGAGGAGTCAGATTTATAGAGACAGCAAAGTAGTGTAGTGGGAGGCAGGAGCTTAGGGGAGGGGGAGGGGCAGTTAATGTCTAAGGGGGACAGAGTTTCAGTTTGGGAAGATGAAAAGTTTTGGAGATGGGTATTAGTGATGGTTCCACAACAGTGTGAGCGTACTTCATGCCACTGAGCTGTGTACTCGAAAACATAAAGACAGTAAATTTGATGACACGTGTGTGTTAGTCGCTCAGTCATGTCCGACTCTTTGTGACCCCACAGACTGTAGCCCGCCAGGCTCCTCTGTCCATGGGATTCTCCAGGCAAAAATACTGGAGTGGGTAGCCATTTCCTTCTACAGGGGATCTTCCTGACCCAGGAATCGAACCCAGGTCTCCTGCATTGCAGGCGGATTCTTTACCATCTGAGCCACTAGAAAGTCCCACATTATGTGTATTTTACTGCAATTTTATCAAAAAGATGTTCTTTTAGTATGCCTCCAACTTTCCCTTTAAATCCATTCCCCCATATTCCTGCCAACCCCTGTGCCTTCTCTCCTCTTTCCTTGCCTAACCTGCTCTCAGGAAAGGCTCTGATAAACTCACACACCGTGAGGTGTGAATCCATCATGAGGCTTGGTGACCTTCTCAGCCCCGGCATCTTTTTACTTAAACAAAAACAGAAATGAAAAATGATGGTGATGTTTTGGGCATCAAGAGCAAGCTAACCACAGGGTTGGGGGGAGTTGGCTGGAGGGAGGGTTGATCCTAGAATGACTTCCTCGCTTTCACTAAGTTCACTCCATGTGGGCATCTGTCTGCTCCTCAGCTGGGCTCCTGCACCCAGAGTGGGAGTCCTCCTTGATGAGGGCAGAGCCAGAGGAGCCCAGTGGCAATGTCGCCTATGCTGGTCAGTGGTGGCGGGTGGAGTCCCAGGGTCAAGTATCACCAGCATCTCATTCCCAAACCTGGCTCTCCTGGCGCCCTGATGGGCACCCCTGCTCCCGTAAACTCTCACCAAAACCAACACAATTCTTTTCATTAAGGTTTGAAACTGCTTCCCCTGCTGCTTTCACATCTTGACCTTTTAAGCAAATCTTCAAGGCCCAGAAAAGGAGCTCCCTTCAGCATTGCAGGGGGGTGTGAAGGCATGGAGTGACTCACAGGCACAGACTGGAATAGCAGAGCTTGCAGAGAGGAGGTGGGGAGCCTGGTGGTGCCATAGACATCATATTTGTCCTGCCCCTTCCCAGGCTTACAGGGCTGGGCATTCCCTCGGGATGTCTGAGCAGAGTGTCTTCAGGGGAATCTCCGTGGGAAACGGCAGGTCCTGAAAGACTGCCTTGGGAGACCAGTGTCTGTGTCCCAGGGTAACTTGGGGAGGTACAAGGGGCGGGTTGGTTCATGCTGATGGTGAAAGAATTCAACCACAGCACCAGATCCATTGGTGGGGGGCACCCCCGAGACCTATAGAAACACAAGGAAGTGTTTCATCTGGTTCTCCAGAAGAAGTCTGGGAATTCCCAATTCCCACAGCTGACTCGGACTGGATTTGCAATCTGCTTTTTAGTAGCCTTGATTAAGTACGCAAAATTAATGATCAGAGCTCTTGATTATTAATGTACGGGGATGCAGGGTCAGTGTCTTCCCGGAAGCCTGCCCAGAAGGGATTGCCTCTTAGGTGCAAAATTGGTTATTGAACTATTTAGAATATTGAGTTGAATTCTGCTGGGCAGGCCTCCCTGTGGAATGAAACAAATGAACCAGGATTCCAGGACACAGTGCAAAGGATGGGTCAGTGCCCCTGATGCATGCAAACACAACTTAAAAAAAAAAAATTGATTCCAAATTTTTTACTCACCTGGGTTCAAAGGAGCCCATTAAATTCTCCCCAAACTGGGTAGCCATTCTTATAGCCAGTTGGAGGTTCAGGCTACTTTCTCATTGAGTGTGTGCGGGCATGTGTGCTAAGTTGCTTCAGTAGTGTCCAACTCTTTGTGACCCTCTGGATTGTAGCCCACCAGTCTCTTCTGCCTGTGAGATTCTCCAGGCAAGGATACTGAAGTGGGTTGTTATGCCCTCCTCCAGGGGATCTTCCTGACCCAGGAATGGGACCCAGGTCTCCTGCAGTACAGGCAGATTCTTTACCATCTGAGCCACCAGGGAAGTCTGGGAAAGAGTAGAGATTACCACACACAGCATTTTTTCATGGGAGAGGTTAGTCTTTGAGATTTCCAAGACCAATTTAAGCTCATGTTTTCAACACTTTCTTTTTCATCTCCTTTCTATATTGTGGAAACAATGGAACCAGACTGGTTAGTGTCAGAAGTCCTAGAATCAAGGGGTCAGCAGGGCTGCACTCCTTCTGCAGGTTCCAGGAGAGAATCATGTTCTCACATCTCCAGCTTCTAGACGTACCCTCATTCCTTGGCCCCTGGGCCCTTCCTCCATCTCCCAAGCCAGCAGGGTAGCATCTTCATATTGCATTCCTCTCATCAGGACCCTTGTCATTACTACACTGGAGCCACGAAGATAATCCAGGACAATCTCAAGATCCTTAATCACTCCTTCCAAGTCTTTTTTGCATATGAGGCAATATTCACAGGCTCCAGAATTAGGATCTGGACTTCTTTATGGGTCTTAATTTAGCCTATCTCAGTCCACCACCCCCCAATCAATCCCTTTGTCTACCCCATCCCTCCTAACCGACAAACTTTCTTTCTATTGTTGCAAACCAGGGAAGTGACCTTCAGTTTAGTTCAGTTGCTCAGTCGTGTCCGACTCTTTGCAACCCCAGGAATCGCAGCACTCCAGGCCTCCCTGTCCATCACCAACTCCCGGAGTTTACTCAAACTCATGTCCATCGAGTCGGTGATGCCATCCAGCCATCTCATCCTCTGTCGTTCCCTTCTCCTCCTGCCCCCAATCCCTCCCAGCATCAGGGTCTTTTCCAATGAGTCAACTCTTCGCATGAGGTGGCCAAAGTAATGGAGTTTCAGCTTTAGCATCAGTCCTTCCAATGAACACTCAGGATTGATCTCCTTTAGGATGGACTGGTTGGATCTCCTTGCTGTCCAAGGGATTCTCACTCCATAATTGTGACCATAAAGGGGACACGATGGAGAAACTTTAAGTCAAAGAAATGCAAAACCACAATTGTGGCATTAGATGAAGTATATTTGATGTATTAAAGTACAAGCACCAACAACTTGCAGAGCCTTCTAGTGGCCCAGAAGTCCTCTGCAGATTCTTGCTCATCCTCAGCTATCCTGTAAAGCATTGTCTTCAAGACAAATAAAACTTGGCTTTTTTTTCCCCACCAACAATTGCTTTTTGTTGTTACTTCAATGAACACAGTATAAGGTACAACAAAAGCACAACATTTTAGCTCCATGTGGGGTAAATGGGATTTATGGGTGGACCTGACCCTCTAACATCCATCTGTTCTGTCCACCGTTGGCAACGTCCCTGTGGAAGCACAGGTCTGGCGGCTGCCAGTCAGTTTCCAGATTCACTTCTGGGTTGCAGTCTGTCTGCAGGTTGGGGATCGACTATTATTATTTTAATGTTTTTAAAAATCTTTTTATTTATTTTTATTGAAGTATAGTTAATTTGCAATGTTTTTAATTCCTGTTATACAGCAAAGTGATTAGGTTTTATATATATATATATATATATATATATATATATATATATATATGTATTCTGTTTTTAATAGCCTTTTCCATCATGGTGTATCATAAGGAGCTCAGCTGTTCTATGATGACCTAAAGGGGTGGGATGGGCAGATGGGAGGGAGGCTCAGAAGGGAGGGGGTATATGTTTACCTATAGCTAGCTGATTCACAGTTGTTGTTCAGTAGAAACTAACGCAACACTGTAAAGCAATTATCCTCCAATTAAAAAAAATATATATATGTATATCCTATGATAAAACATAAAGGGGATTGGCTATTCTTGACCAAAGCCCTGGGCAGTGCCCCTGGCAGGATGATTCCTGACTGCCCTGTGCTCTTATAAGGGGCTGGATACTAACTAAATATACAGAAATAAATGAGGCTGGCGAGTGGAGCCTGAAACCCAAGTCAGCTTCCCTACAAAGTGTGAGTGTGAGTTTCTTGGCAATACCTGACTTACATGGACTTCGGCTACTCATTCTACTTCTCTATTCTGACAACAGGGAATTGGATCACTAAAGAAAATCCCGGTCCCATCGGAGCTTACATTCTAATGAGGCGCAACCCTGAGAAACAATGTGAACTGCTCATATGTTAATTTCAGATAGTGATAAATGCCCATGGAAAATAAAACAGGGGGAAATGGCGAGGGGACAAAGACAGACAAGTAGGGAGGATATCGGTGCTCCAAGGGCTTGTCTGAGGAGCGACATAATTGATGAGCAGAGAGTGGGGGTGGAGTGGGAGGCGTGGGAACAGCACGTTCAAAGGCCCTGGGGCAGGAATAAGCTTGGCTTGTTCAAGGGATTAAAACAGGCCAAAGTGACTGAGCATGGTGGATGGTAACAGGTCAGATCAGAGAGGTGGGTAGGCCAGATGCCTCAGGACTTTGAGGCCACATCAGGAATTTGGACTTGATTCCAATTTCCATGGCAGTCCTGGGAATTTTTAATCAGGGAGCAGCAAGATCTGACTTCTATTCTAGAAGGCTTCTGCTGGCTACGGTGAAAGACTGGACTCAGGGCTTTCGAATACTGTTCCCAAGTCTAATTTCCTTGATTAGCCAGGACATGAGAAGCGAAGGCTTTCAGCAAACCTGGAGTTGAGGTTCAAATGCGGGTTCTGCTTCGTTCCAGTAGGTCATGACATTTTCACCAGGTAGCATTTGCATTTTCCCCTGAGTTCATTGCTTGATGCATCACACTGTAGCAAAATGGCAGGAAAGTACTTCTGTGAATCAGACCTCTCCACGACCTCTTAATAACAGCTTCCCTGTAACCCTGCTCCGTTTAGGAATGCCAAGCGGGCGCCTTTTTTCTTTCTGTGCCACAGAAACTGTCAGGTTACACGAAGATCGTACATAAAGCATTTGAAACAGAGAGGGCTTATGTAGCTACAAAAAAAAAAAAGCAAAAAACCCCATGACTTTGTGACAGTCTGTTATTAAAGTCATAATTCATGTTGTAATGTTTGGGGAGGAGGGGAAGAAATTAAAATTCTGTGGTTGGAATAAAGCATGCTGCACAATGGAAAAATAGCGGAGAAGAAATCAGGTAACTTCTCTCATCAAGGGCATGCCCTTGTCTGTTTCAAAGAAGCTAGAGGAGAGATTGAGGATTAGTAGAGCCTCCAGATGAGTTTTAAACATGGGAGTCCTGGGGCTTCTGGGCTGAAAATGGACATGGTTTCTGAGGTTATTGGAGCATCCATCCTCCAAATCCACGTGGTGCTTTGTTGCCATTTTTGTCCACTTTTAGGACAGAGGTGAAATTTAAGGCAAAAGAATTTAGTATGGCTACACAATTTGAGTAACATTTTGTGTCTGTTAGGATTTTCAGTTCAAAGGGACAGAAGACAATTCAAATTGACACAAGTTAACCAAAGGAATCTATTGGCCCAAGTAACTAGAAAGGAAAGCATTAGCTTCAGGCACAGCTTGATCTAGTTGCTCACACAGTGTCATCAGGACCCTGCTTCTCCATCTCCAGAGTCTATTCTCAGATGAGTTCTTCCCTCATGAATGCAAATGACAGTGTAGCTCCAACCTTTGTCTTTAACTTTCCAAGTACAGTGGGTGAATATCTCATTCTCCGTGTATGCTCCTGGCTTCTATGCCCCTGGCTTCTATGCCCCTCCTCTCCCAATCCTCACATTCAGGGCATGGGATTATGCTGATTGGCCAGGCCTGGGTCACATCCCCAGGCCTGATCCAATCACTGTGGCTGTGGTGAGGATGGGTGGGATGAAGAGGGAGGCTGTGTACTGATTGGCCAGCCCTTGGTCACACATATTCACCCCAGCAGGAGTGGACCTAATACGAAGTCCAGGACTGAGGATGAGGGAGGGGAAGTCTCCGAAAAGAACTTAAAGGGGAAGTGACAGATGACAGCTGGGCACAAGTACCCACTGCAGCTCATGTGCATATTGTAAACGCCCCTTCTCTCCATCCTTGCTACTTTAGGTGAAAGCAGAGTATGCTCGGCTTAAACACACGCTCACCATAGTGACCAGAGAACGTGATTTGGCCGTGAAGGAGAAACACCAGCTCCAAGCCAAGCTGGAGAACCTAGAACAGGTCCTAAAGGTAGGACACGCTTCCACTTCCGCTTTCCCCGGGGATCAACATGAGGAACGAGGGGCCGCAGAATCCCAAAGCAGAGAGTGGTTGAAACTCCTTTTGAGTTTCAAAATCATAAAAATTCAGGGCTCTATGGGGCTGTTTTTACCCTTTCTGTGGTATACAAAGCAATAAATAACAAAATTTGAATGTTTCTGGAAGCGATCCCGTAAAACCAATTATGCATTTCCATTTCTTAGAATGTTAAACACAGCTGAGCAAGAGATGCTAGGCAGCACTCCGGAATGGAAATTGGGCGTAAGTTGAAGACCAGAGGTGTCTACATTGGTTTTTCAGATTTCATGAATTTTAAGCTGTTCTTCAGATGGTTAACGACCTTTGTTATAAAGAGAATAGCTAAGTCAGAAAATTGCTTTATCAAGCTGCAGGTAATTGGATAGCCTCATGCATTCCTGATGAGCTGGGATCTCCTTCAATATTTAATGGGTGGGTTGATTTGCTTTTGATATTACTGAGTTAAGCTGAATGAATTTGTTGCCTTTTTTTTTAAGTGTTAAAATTTTATTGGATTCTCATAGTGGGGGAAAAAGTTTTAACATAAAAGAATAAAATAATCACCTGCAGTTCTACAATCTAGTACATAGATTAAGCATTTGTATTGCACAAGCTCAGAACAGAGTTATAGTATACCCACCCACCGTCCTGCACGAGGAAGTGACTTTAAATCCACCTTTAGTTATTTGGAGGAACTGTTAGAACCCTGAGGGGACTCAGATCCATGATTGGTAAGGACTAGGGTGAGGTACAAAATGGATACAGGGTTTCTTTTGGGTGTGATGAAAATGTTCTGGAATTAGTGTGATGATTACCAAACATTGTGAATGTACCAACACCTCTGAATTGTACACTTTAAGGAGTGAATTCTATGGTATGTGAATTACATCTCAATTTAAGAGTGCGTGTGCATGCTCATGCGTAGTCGTGTCCAACTCTTTTCAACACTTTGGACTGTAGCCCGCCAGGCTCCTCTGTCCATGAGATTTCTCAGGCAAGAATACTAGAGTTGGTTGCCATTTCCTCCTCCAGGAGATCTTCCTGACCCAGGGATCGAACCCACATCTTCTGCATTGCAAGCAGATTCTTTACCGCTCAGCCATCGGTGAAGTCCCCAGTTTAAGAGTAAAGATGCCCTATTCTTTCTGCTGGTCCTAGAGGGGAACCGCACCCTTGTGTGATTCAGGAGTTGACAGAGTCACGCCCAGTGCTGGGGGTGTCTGAGATGCCCCCCGGGCATCTGAGATGCCCCCGAGGGCCAGATGCTCCCTGGCCCTCTCTGGAGGAAAGACCAAGGCTAACCCTGACCATGTTTCTTTTTACCCTTTGCTCTGAATTTAGAACATAGCCCTCATGGAGTGAGATGCCATGTAATTATTTATTTCAGGAGCTACCTGGACCACTGTGAGTTCTCTGAGGGCACAAACTATGCTTCATTCAACTCTCTACCCATAGAGGTTGGGAAAGGTGGTGTTTGGTGGAGTCAGTGGAGGATGGGTTGGGAAAGCAGAGCATACTCAGGGGCTTTGCTGAGGGTCTGTTGGAGTAAAGTCACCATGAAGGACAGTGTAGGGTAGAGGTTCTGGGTGTCTGTGCCTCCTGGGTGACTATGCCTGCAGGAGGCATTTGACAATCTGGAGATATTTTTAATGTATATGACTGGGGAGGGGGCTATTGGCATCTCATGGGCAGAGGCCAGGGATGTTGCTAACCCTCCCACAATGTACAGGACCGCTTCCACAGCAGAGGACTAAGTGCCCAAAATGTCATTGGCACCAAGGTTGAGAAACTGTGTTAGCGTCTAATTGTTGCTGTAACAAATTGTCACAATGTAAAATAAAACAGATGTATTTTCTCTCTTTTTTCTTGTGCAAAAGCTATTTTTTTTTTTTAGAAAACTTTTTATTTTCTATTGGGGTATAGGAGCTTCCCTGGTGGCTCAGATGGTAAAGAATCTGCCTTCTATGCAGGAGACCTGGGTTCGATCCCTGGGTTGGGAAGATTCTCTGGAGGAAGGTATGGGAACCCACTCCAGTGTTCTTGCCTGGAGAATCCCCGTGGACAGAGAAGCCTGGTGGGCTACAGTCCGTGGGGGTCACAAAGAGTCAGACACAATGGAGCGACTAAACACAGCACAGCACATAGCTGATTAGGACTTCCCAAGCTAGTGGTAAAGAACCCACCTGCCAATGCAGGAGACATATAAGAGATGTGGATTCGATCCCTGGGTCAGGAAGATCCCCTGGAGGAGCGCATGGCAACTCCCTCCAGTATTCTTGCCTGGAGGATCCCATGGACAGAGGAGCCTGGCAGCCTATGATCCATAGGATCAGAGAGTCGGACACGACTGAATGACTTAGCACACGCACACACACGTAGCCGATTATCAAACAGAGTTGTAGTAGCTTCAGGTGAACAGTGAGGGGACTCAGCCATACATATATATGTATCTGTTCTCCCCAAACCCCCTCCCATCCAGGCTGCCACATAACTTTGAACAGAGTTCTGGATGCTGTACAGTAGGTCCTTGTTGGTTACCCATTTTAAATAAAGCACATGTGTGCACATGTCCATCCCAAACTCCCTAACTATCCCCTCCCCCCATCCTTCCCTTTAGCAACTGTAGGTTCATTCTCCAAGCCTGTGAGTCAACAAGTATATTCTCTTACACTTCAGGAGGTCAGATCCAAAATGAGTCACATGGGCTAAAATCAAGGTGTAGGTAGAACTGTCTGCCTCTCAGAAGGTTATGGGGAGACCACTTCCTGCTGTCTCTACCTTCTGACAGCTGCTCCTGGTCCCTCCCCGTCCCTGCAAAGCCAGCAATCAGCATCTTCTCTCTTCTCTGATTTCTTGCCTGCCTTGTGTCAGGAACCTGTGATGACACTCCACTTGGACAATCTCCCCATCTCAACATCCTTAACTTAATCCCAGTGAAAATCCCTTTGTCCTGTAAGGTGACATAGTCCCAAGTCTCCCAGGGCTTGAGGGGTGAACATCTTTGGGGAACATTATTCAGCCTGCTCCACCCTTGAGTGTTTGGGAGAGGTGCCAATAGCACTGATGCTACCTGTGAGCAGAGGAGGCCCGTTTATAATTCCGGGATGTGAAATTCCCTTCTGTGTCTCCTGCCTGCCTGCTGGCTTTCAGGCCAGTCTTTCCTCTCATCCAGAGTGGATGAAGGGCTGTGCATTCCCAGCTTTAGGGGCCCCACCACCCTTCTGTCTGACCTGGGGTCTGGGCCTCATCCTCAGGGCCTTGCACCCATGGAGACACCTGAGTTCACATCCAGGTTCTGTCTGTGGTGCCCTGCAAACAGCCTCTCCTTGGCTGCCCTCTGGTCCAGGGGGTACACACCAGGCCTGTCATCGGCCTTCGGTGGGGGCGTAGACTAGGGAGGGGGACTGTGCAGGAGCTGAGTATGAACTTGGGGACTTTGGGGTGTGGAATCCCAGGGTCTGGAGAGCTGGACTGTGGTCCGTAAAGAGAGAATGTGGGGTCGGGGTGGGCTCCTCCCTTTGGCTCCATTTCTAAGGGGGGAATTGGGTGATGAAACTTTAGCTGATGAGCAGGCCATGGACAGCCATCAGTGGACACTGTCATCTTTGTCACCAGGAAGGCAGCAAGAGCAGGAGAGGTTAGAGGCAGTGAGGGGTCCATGGGGACAAGTGACAGTGTTATGGGCCTGGGATTCTGGTCACCACCTCCCCTTGGTCACCAGCTCCCACTACTGTTTTGTCCTGTTCTTCACTTAGCAGCCAGAGCAGTACTGTAAAACTAGAAATCAGATCCCAGCACCATCCTCAAACCGTCCATGTGACCCTTCCTCCCGCCCCAGTCCCTTACCCAAAGCCTGGCGCCCTTACTGGCCTCAGCCCAGGCCGTGCGGTCACCCTCACCTCTTCAGACCTCTGTTCTCCACTCTGCCCTGATGCCATCCACTCCTAGCTTTATTTCTGGAACAAAGCCAGGCACTGAGTACCTTCAAAAAGTTCTTTTTTTTTAACTTTTTATTTTATATTGGAGTATAGCCAATTATCAATGTTGTGATAGCTTCAGGTGGACAGCAAAGGGACTCAGTCATCATACACAGGTATCCTTTCTCCCCTCAACTCTCCTCGCATCCAGGCTGCCACATAACACTGAGCAGAGTTTCTGGTGCTATACAGGAGATCCTCGTTGGTTATCCATTTAAAATATCCCAAACCCCTTCACAGTACCCTTTAATGAGTGGATGAGCCATGGGACCCCCGCAGGAGGGCTGAATTGCAGGACAAGCCCAACCAGGCTGGCCTGGGACAGGGGCCTTAGTGGAGGCAAACGGGGCTCTTTCTCAAAAGATTTGTGCTCCATGCAAAAAAGGGAGACAAAAGATCTGGAGATTAGAAGAGGCATGTCCTTTGTAAGGGAGTTGATTCCATGGCAAGCTGGTTTTAGAAAAGGCAGAGGAACCAGAGATCAAATTGCCAACATCCACTGGATCATCGAAAAAGCAAGAGAGTTCCAGAAAAACATCTATTTCTGCTTTATTGACTATGCCAAAGCCTTTGACTGTGTGGATCACTATAAACTGTGGAAAATTCTGAAAGAGATGGGCATACCGGACCACCTGACCTGCCTCTTGAGAAACCTATATGCAGGTCAGGAAGCAGCAGTTAGAACTGGACATGGAACAACAGACTGGTCCCAAATAGGAAAAGGAGTACGTCAAGGCTGTATATTGTCACCCTGCTTATTTAACTTCTATGCAGAGTACATCATGAGAAACGCTGGGCTGGAAGAAGCACAAGCTGGAATCAAGATTGCTGGAAGAAATATCAATAACCTCAGATATGCAGATGACACCACCGTTATGGCAGAGAGTGAAGAGGAACTGAAACGCCTCTTGATGAAAGTGAAAGAGGAGAGTGAAAAAGTTGGCTTAAAGCTCAACATTCAGAAAACTAAGATCA